TTAACATCCCACCGGCAAGCATACACACCTTACCCCACCTTCGAATTCGAACGTCTCTCCTCGCACAAACGATGGCCCAAGGGATGTGGGATGATATCATCAAGAGTTCACGATCGTTGTGAGGGAGGTGACGAGGACGAGGACGAGGAGTGAGAAGTTTATTCCTTTTTAGGTCCATGGGAAGTTTGTGGAACGGGCGGTTGTTTGAGGGAGTGGAGGAAGCAGCATGAGCGGTTGGCTTGAGGGAGAAGGAGTGGAGGGGGAATGGATATGAAGGAGGAGGTTAAGGGGGCTTCTGAGGTTGTTAAACGGGAACAGGAGGCGTACCCCACCCCAGCTACTTCGATTCGCCCCTCACCCACACCCAGACCTAAATCAAAGAGGAACACGGCTGTTGCATTTTTGTCAATGAGTGCTTCGTTTTCGCATTTACCTGCCAGGCCTGCAAATACCCGAATATAGCCCCAACTGAAGTGCTCCAAACAGTTATAGTCCTATGACCCCGAATGATTTGGATGTTCGTCGGTGGCTGGGGCAGGTTGGGTACTCAAGGGCGGGCGACACTTCCTTAACAGAAGCAGCACCAGCAGCAGTATTCGCAACACAAGTCTTTCCCCTAATAACACTACTCACCAGAGTATCAATACAACCTCACGTTTGGCCCTCCTAAAAAGCTTCACCGCAGTATCAACCCCCTCTTACTCATCACCACCAACATCAACGGGCGCAAGGGACTTGTTCACACCATTCGTCGCCGCTATATCGACATTTGGATTTTTCGCAAAGCCAACGAGGGCATCATCAGTCTTCGCCACACTTGAGCCGAGGGACGTCGCCTCAGTATCACCAAGAACAATAGCAACGACATTCTAGGCAGATGCAGAGTCAAGGGCTCCCGCGGTTCTATGATAATGTGTGGAATACGCAGCCTGCTATTGTGGCTCCTCACTGAGGTCTTCTGAGTCCAAGAGGATATTGCGTGTTCTTTTTCTTTTTTGGGAGACCTCTATGTGATAGAGGGGGATACGAACCACCCTGTACGGCTGGGTGGAGCGTTTTGACCTGCTCGCCTACCATTTCTGGGGCTTTGGTACATCCCTGTTTCGTGTAGAAGGATCGATGATCGTATCCGAGTCACATGACCATCTCCTCCGAAATCACCTCCTCTGCGCACACCTTTGCAAACTCAACCATCTCCGAATCAAAAAAAGATCCCCGAAAGTCAGTCTCACCGTGACCTTCGCAGCACTCCACACCCTCTTATCCTCCATCCATCTCGCGTCACCCATCCAATGCACGGCTCCGTTAAGCTTCCCGGCATCTACCACCATTGTCAGCGCCATTTTGTTACAGGCAACGTGGTACCCGTCCAGGACACCTATTTGTGCGAGGGTCTCCATATCTACACAAACTGGGCGTGAACACCGTTCGTGTATACAGCGTCGATTCGACCAAGACCCACGATTCGTGCATGAGCGCCTCAGTGGGTGCAGGCATCTATACCATGTACGTTCGTGCCGTCCGTCATACCCTAGAGAGCCAGTGCATACTGTTAATAAGAGGACGTTCATCCCTCTTCTCGAACTTTATGCACCCCCCGAAAGTGATTGGATAAGGGGTCGATCCCGGGTACGAGGATACAATCCACAGGCAGGCACGCCGCGTACGTATGCGCTGGGAGCTGTTTAGGGCCAGAGGTGGCTGTTACGGGGTCTAAGGCGTCGGAGACGAAGTACCACGTCAAGATGGGAGCCTTGGGGCCAAGGTGCTGGACGGTGGGGAAATTTGCAAGATAGGCTTGGCTGTGGCTGTTGAGGTAGTCCATGGTACCCACGGCATCGAGGTTTTGATGGTCGGGGAAGAGGAGGACTGCGATGCTCAGGCTGGGTGGGGTGGCCATGGTGTAGGGTTAGGTTTGTTGAGTTCGTCTTTCAACTGATCCGTCTATTTTATATTCATCTACAGGTGTCTTTGCAACCCCGTCTGGATTTCTAAGCGGCCGACGTTCTGGACAGAAGCGTCTCCAGATGTTGTCGATGCTAATCACGCGCAGCGATTTTGACGATGATCTTTTGATAGGCGGGATCTTCTGTCCGGCAGCCTTGATTGCGTAGACTAAACGCGCATCGAACATCAAAGTGCGGTAGATACATATCATAAAGGTCGGAATCCAAGTGTCTTACCCTTTTTTGAAGGAGGAATGGCTGATTTTGTCTTCAAAGCATGCTGGTGCAACTGCCAACTACCAATCTTCCGCCTTACATAGGTCCACATTGAGGTTACCGCGATGTAACTTTCCGCAGAACGCCAAAATATAGAATCTGATACACTACATATTTCTTTCCGTTTGATACGGAAGTCGGGACTTTTCACAACCAGTATGATTCAGATTGAGGCCTGCTCGTTTCACGAAGTTGAGGGCTTCCAGTGGCCGTATTTCCAGCGGCCGCCCTTGGTCGTTGAGGACTGATCCCCGTTTTCTGTGGATGGATCGAAATGAACCCCAATCTAGGGTGGAGGCGAATTCAGTGGATCCAAATGATGTAGGTGAAGCCTCTTACCTGATACAAAGCGCTCCTGACATCCTCTTTTACCAGAATTCTGGGATTTACCTTAGACCGTTGCCATCGTGCATGCGCAAAACCCTTTCTGCCGTTCTCTCAGTTAAGATAGTGAAGAGATCGGGGATGGAAAACGGAAATCCACGGTATCAAGCGAGGGTCAAAGGCGAACGCACCAGCTTGATCCACATTCCATGCACATGACCGATTTGTGCGCTCTACTCCATTGTGATCTTTGTTTCATAAATAGGTCTTATGTTGACGGAGATGATCGTCTTGAGCTTCAGCGTACGTTTGGCATGGTCGTCTTCCCATGTGAAAAATGATACGTTAAACAGCTGTGG